GCGGCGGCGGCGGCCGGAACAGAAAAGCGGTACCCGGGATGAGGGACAAACTGAGCGAAGGCCTGGCAGCAGCAGGCGCTGCGAGACCCGCGCCGGGGGGCTGTGGGGAGCAGGAGGCTCGGGCTGTGCTCTGCCGGCGGCTTTTTCTTTTCTCGTCTGCGTCCTTGCTCTTGTCTATCCCTTTTATCCCGTCCCGACTGTGGGATTACGGCCACTGCACAAAAAGCAGGAGGCTCGGGCTGTGCTCTGCCGGCGGCTTTTTGTTTTCTCGTCTGCGTCCTTGCTCTTGTCTATCCCTTTTATCCCGTCCCGACTGTGGGATTACGGCCACTGCACAAAAACCGTCTGGCTGTGGTAAACAAAACATGTGGCTTGTGGACGTGAAGCATTGAGGAGACAGAGCTGCAAGAGCAGGGCTTGTTGCTGACAGCGAGCCTAAAAGAATATGAATGTTCCCTACAGATCCTCACTTTACTAGAAATTTAAAAAAATCTTCTGTTGATGTTGAACATCTCTCTGACTTCCTCTCAGACGCATCCGGCAGTTCTGAGGCGCAACCCTGTGGACATGGGGCGAGGCCGTGCAGCCCCCGTCGGTGGCAGCCCTCTGGCCCCCTGCTTCGTGAGCACTGGTTCTGAAACATCAGACCTTGTTTGGGGATAAACAGCCTTAAGACTTCTGATTGGCAACCCTGTACTTCCGTAAATCCAGCTGCAGCATATGTTAGTGATAGAAAACTTCATTATGTCAATTTATTAGGAGGTTAATAAAGGCAGAGACTCTTGCTTACAGTCCACATAAATTCAGGGACGCAATAATAAGTGTTGCTTGCCTGGCTAATAGGGAACTACACCTTCGGATACTAGCTTGATTTGGAATGCTCATTTGTGCCTTTTAAGTTGTTTTTTCACTGATACTTGGGAGAGGAAACTAGGAGAAAACTTTACATCCAAAGAGAATTGGATGCCGTCATATTGTCCTATATTCCTGTCATCTCCCATTCTATAATTTTGAATATCTTTGAAGTGTAGGGTATTTGGAAGTATGTTATTTTGATAGGTGCTTATTAATTGCTACACTTCAACTAGAACTGGTTAGTTTTCAGTCTGACTCCCTTTTCTAATTCTCAGGTTTTTTTGTTGCCCATGGTGACATTTTAAAATTAGATTTGAATAGTGAAAAGATTTCTTAAAGAACATGAGCACTGCAGATAGTGTTTAAAGATATGCTAGAGCAGAGTAAGCATAATGCTAATTTTCCATGACAACTAACTTGTCCAAACAAGCAGTGGATAACTGCCTGGACATGTCCGCTGGCCAAATATAGATTCTCAGCAACCGTGGCACCTTGTAAAAATTCCAGCAATGGTTTAAACCTAGATATTTGTGTAATGACGGATTTTCAAGACGAGCTTGTTATCCCTTTAGAGCATAAAGCTCAAGGTCTAGTGAGGGACAGCCGAGAAGCTGCCAGAATTTTGCAAAGCGTGCTCACCTCCTGTTAGCACCGGAGTTTCAAGGCAGACAGAAATCTGGTTTAAGTGGAATGCCCGGCCACCGGCAAAGTCAGATATCTGCTCATTTCCACCCAGCACCCCAATTACTGAGATCCTTAGCTAGAAAGCTTCATCATTAGGAGAAAATTACGTCTATACAAAAATGCAAGAGGATAGAACCGAATGGCTACATTCAGTTGATGTAATACTGAACAGCAGTGTTATTGATGCTCTATCTTGTCCTGTTGTGGCATGAAAACTATTTAATTCCTATACAGAATGCATTTTACTGAACTGAAGCAAAACAAAAATAGAGTGTTTATGTAGTTCTCCCAAAAATATATCACATTATTGAGCCTTGTCTTAAGCACAGTATCATTTTGCTAAGGCTGTGTGGGAATTAAGGTGCTTTTTAAATTAGCAATAAATTTTCTACAGTCCAAGACTTACCAAACTGGAACTATGACTTTCTTTTTCCACTTCTCAACCAATAAGCGTCTTGTGACCAATGACTTTGAGATTAAATTGGGATTCTTTAAATAATAACTTCCCTTAGCGACTCATCAACTGCTAAGGATAAAAAAAAGACCCAACAGGTTCTGTCTAGAATTTTTATCAGTCTTCAAGGACAATCTTACCTCTTTTCTCAGACAGACTAATCTCAAGTAAGGGGAGGCTGTGAGTAGGTAAAACACGCTGTCTGTGCTTGCTTAGGGAGATAGGGGGATATTTTCTGACACGCAGTGCTGCACCACTTCTGTTTTCACTAGTTTCTCACTAATACAGCACATGCTGTGTCTTCAACATACATAATCATTTTCTTATGCTTGATAATTCTGGACAAATATAATTAAAAAGTTTTACTTGAAGGGTGAGTAATAAGCTTGTATAGTTATGAGAGCTGACTTCGCCACTAATTCAAGGTCCTGAAAAGAAAAGGAGACATCAGTAAGACCCCACCTGTGTATTTTATTTATCATGCTCAGATCAGATCTGGAGCAGATGTAGCCCAAGTGCCTTAACTGGAGATACCCACTTTACATTGTGGTTAACTAACATGCACATGCTGTGTCTTCAACATACATAATCATTTTCTTATGCTTGATAATTCTGGACAAATATAATTAAAAAGTTTTACTTGAAGGGTGAGTAATAAGCTTGTATAGTTATGAGAGCTGACTTCGCCACTAATTCAAGGTCCTAAAAAGAAAAGGAGACATCGCTACAGTAAGACCCCACCTGTGTATTTTATTTATCATGCTCAGAAAATATCTGGAGCAGATGTAGCCCAAGTGCCTTAACTGGAGATACCCACTTTACATTGTGGTTAACTAACATGGTATGATGTTTTTAATATAAATTCAGATTCTAACTGTAGACATTTCATTGTTTAATGCTTGGAAGCTGAATTCTTTCATGAGATGGATCTAGTCTACCTATAGGTGTCTGTGCCAGAGGAGAGATGGGTCGCTGTGCTGCGGGGTGCCCAACTCAAGTGAACGGATGGACCGTTAAAGACTTCCATTTCAGATTTTTGTTCCTCACCGTAATTCTTTTTTTTTTTTTTTTCCCCAGCATATCCTGCTTACCCTTTCCTGGCTGCTGCCTAGTCAGCATCCAGCACTTACATGAAATGATCCGAAGTTCCCAGATGCTGATCGGAGGCATGGGTGGCCAGGGTTTGTCAGGTCTCATCTCTGACCCGTTTGCTGCTTCTTGGCTATCAGATGAGTTAACCTCACGTGCTGTCTATCAATTGCTCCCGGACAAAAAAAAAAATAGAATTCAAAAAAAGCCTCTGGGGCCTTACACTGTGCTGATATGTCCTTTCCGAAGCCTTAGACTGCATCTCTATTAGTGTGACACA